GATTTTAGCAGTATAAATCTTAATTGGTAAATTCGAAGTTCTCTATGGGCTGATTTAATATTATTATTATTGTTCAAATTACATTTACTTAAGTTGTGAAATATGCAGGTTAAGGCTTAAATGATTTCGTCTCAACCAATTTAATGTTTGTATGATTTGGGTGTAAAAGTTCACCTATTTTGTATGTTTTAATGTCAAAGCCATTTAACCCTAACACCATGTTATCACGGTGTAGAAGTCATGAGACATAAGCCAACTGGGTAATTTTAGTTAAAACCTGTCCCGACCACCTTGTGGTGGTATCTAGAAAGAAGATATCCTTGGCAAAACATTGTGTGGTTTTGGCTCAAAGTTCCGGTCGAACTCGAGCAGTTCTAAGACTACCAAAAAATTGGGTCAAGGTACAACGAGTTTGTGCTTTTTCCCGTTATCTCTCGAAGGTCGTCCACTCTGGAATTAAAAATTAACGCTTATCGTATCTCCATTTTGTTTGTGATCAAACATTTATATGTGTTCCCATGATCACTATGAACGAAAACAACAGAAACAAAAGTTTAAGTTTATTAATTCTTAGTCAAAGGATATTATCCAAGAGTGGTGTAACACGAACAAAAATCGTTTGTGTAGAGGTCTTCCTTACACTGATTAGTACACAATGGAAATATTGGCGAGCTTAATTTATTTGTTACATGATGAAAATTAGCCGTGTATTTATTCCGCCAGAGATGCTTGTTATACTGAATAAGCTCATAATCACGGACATAATTGTTTCTAAACCTTTTCATTTCATTCAATAACGTAGAGTGACGTACATATCTCCATATCTCACCGAACATTCTCACCTTTTCGGCCATGAGGAGCGTTATACTATGTTGATCAATCTTACTTTTCGTTGGTAAGGGGTAGCCCAAGAATTGGCGGTGGGTTGTGTTGACTAGCTGCCTTCTGTCTATTCTATCATTTTTACATTCTTGAATTTTGTGCAAAGCAACAGATAGCCCTCAAGCTGCTTTGCACGAAATTCAACAGAACCCCCCCCCCCCCATAAAACAAATTCCATAATAACATTTCGGCTTAATAGATGGATAGTCTGACTAACACAGTATCTGTGGTAACATATTAGTGCTTGGGTGTGATTTTACCTTCCTGTGCGATTTTATTCTACTGCAATATTCATGCCGAATTCACAAAATAAATAAAAACTGGAAATTCGTTATATATATGTTTAAAATGATCTCAAAACAGCATATATTGTGTATATTATTATGAAGGTTAGTTTCTGTAAAGCTGTATTAAAATGCATAATATAAATAACGTAAACCGCTGATGTTTGTTTTAAAAAAAGTCATCTTAACTTATTTATTTTGGATTATAAGCCAGAGGTATGAAAACGTATTTGAGACCAATCTTTTAATTCCCATAATAGCCCCCCAGTGGCACAGCGGTATGTCTGCGGACTTACAACGCTAGAATCCTGGTTTCGATACCCGTGGTGGGCAGAGAATAGACAGCCCGTTGTGTAGCTTTGTGCTTAATTACAAACAAACAAATTGCCATAATTCACTGCTTATGTTAAAGGCCTAGTAATTTTTAATGCTTTGCTAGCTTACATCGTTTAAATTGTTAGAATATTTATGTTATATAACGTATATAAATGGAGATTCTTTTTTCTATTTAAATTAAATGCTTTTCTTTTTTTTTGAGAAACTTGTGTTTTAAATGTTTTTGTTTGTTCTATTGTTACATAAGTTAGCTATGTAGGGTCTCCTTTCTCGAATTATGCTTAATATTTCCCTCAGCACGTAAGATTTTGTTTAGTTATTTGTTAAAATTATAAGGTGATATTACTTTGGTAATTTTAGAGATCTGCCCATTCTTTCTGAGTTAAAATCTTCATTCGCATTGTCCTTTATCCCCCCCTCTCCTTCTAGAATCACGCTAAATCTAAACTTGCAGTATCCTGAAAATATCTGCTGAATAACTTGGTTGCTGTCAATCCAGTGTAATCTCTCACGCTGCAGAAAAAATATATGTTGTGGAAGACAAGTATGTTTGATTTGTCAGAAAGCGTATAAAGTCGTGCAATAAACTGTTTTTCCGGGACAGATGTATTTCGTGCTGTCGGCCTCTCCTGGTCAATTATCCGAAACGGGCAGTCGCCCAGATTAGTAAAATCGCACATTTTGATGATTGCATGGTAGTAAAGCCATCAATTTAGCTGTAATTCGTTGTAATATTTACGGCTCGAAACATACGTAAACTTGTCCATTAACAGTTCAGTTGGAGCAAGACAGCTGAGATCTCTAAAAATATAAACGTTGAGCTCTGTTAGTTTTGAACTAGAAAACTTGTAAGATATTTGCAAGAGAGTTTAAGATAATTTTTACCCTGGGCTTTATACTGCAATAAATTTAAGAAACATGAATAGTTAAATAAATCGCAAGTTGCACGTGTAGTTAATAAGTATATTTTTACAGGCATGAAAAGTTGTTGCTTTGAGTGCTTTAGTTTTGTTTTCCAAAATGTTTAGAGACTCTCAGGAAACTTGATTTTAAATACAAATGAGTAATTTGTCCATTTTTTTTTCATTTTAAAGCTTTCTCGTCATAGTGAAGTAGGTTTTAGAAAAATTATTTGCTAAAATATGTATATTTTTTACTTTTATTTTCTAACCTTAACTTTTAGAGATCCAGCAACGTGATTGAACATGACTATTACACTGAACCTGGAGCTATGAATAACCAGCAATAGAGGACGCTACATTTTCTGTGTATTCTAATTAAAAATGAGCTTTAGGTCAGAAACCAAGATTGAAAGTTTCTCTGCTTGTTCCTGTTAAATACGGTTCATCTGACGTTTTGCAGCTCTTTAATGACGAAACGAGCCACCCTTGTTTCAATAAACTTCAAATAAATCGTGTTTTTCTGCTTGCCATGCTGAGGCATGTCATAAAGGTGTAAGAATATTGCTCACTGACACTTTTTATCAACACTCCCCATCTTGGATTGCCTGTGAAATTACCGTATACTCTCAGCAGAAGTGTTTAAATAATTGACATAGTTTAGATGCTATTTTAATGCAGTGCCGAGCCAGACCCATCTTAAGTTACTAAGACTGTATCTTAAGACTGGATTCAGAAGCTTTGAAATCCGGTCTTCGTTCATCTTGATCCATGGAGTTGTACATAGCTTACTTTGTGATTTTCTTGTTGTTTTGGATATTCGCCCAAAGCTGCACAAGGTTTGTTTGTTTTGCTTTTAATTTCGCGCAAATCTACACGAGGGCCATCTGCACTAGCCGTCCCTAATTTAGCAATAATAGACTAGATAGAAAGCAGCTAGTCAACATCATCCACCGCCATCTCTTGGGCTACTTTTTTTTTACCAACGAATAGTGGAATTGACGGTCACATTATAACGCCCTCACGGCTGAAAGGGCAAGCATGTTCGGTGACGGGGATTCGAATCCGCCACTCTTAGATTTGGAGTCGACCAGGCCATGTCAGGTCAGCTACACAAGGACACGAAATGCGGAATGTGATTTTGCGACAACGGGACAAAAACCATAAACACTCGAATTCACAGTCCCGCACGCTAACTACTAGGTCCGCGATTCGGCCGTGTTCTATGACTTGGAGCATTATCATTCGAGAAAAGGAAAGGTCTTATCCCGCATAAATCCATCACTACAGGCAGGATGTGAAAAAACGACAAATCATTTATAACCCTGTTAGTCATTACGAAATGACTAAATTAAAGTAACTTATAACAGTCATAACCCACGATACTACTACATCCACCACTCCACACAGATGGAAGCACTCATCCATGTTCAAAATGTTCTCTAGGTTGTCATAAAGCCCAAACCTGTCAGTCCAAAGCAAACAGTGAACGTTATGTGATGAATTTCTATTGTTCTTCAATTATGATACTCGTTGAAATTCTTGCACTCCCTGCTCTGATACGCAGCTTATGGACCTCAGTCTGTCTGTCTTCTAAGTTCGACAATTGGAGTGTTGTTCAGCAACGTTCAATTCTTCCACCTTACGTAAAGTTCTGGGTGATTAATTTAATGTTAGTTGTGTGGTTTTCGCGTCACATCTTGTTACGAATTTCGCATGCACCAACAAATGATGCATAATTATGGACGGCCATAGCAACATTTCACACAAATATATTTAGTGACGTTCCATTTCTTTAGCACGACCTAGAGTGGGAATGAGTAAGTGTTCTGAAAATGTCTTAGAAATTCATGCCACCAATGTTGTGCACGCATTCCACTTTAAAGTCTGGTGAGCAATTTTGCTCTTGCTATTTTATTTTAAAGTGTTTTTTATTACAGTTGAAAATTTCCACAAACCTTATGTAAAGTGCACCAAATTTTGTGAGCTTAGGCCTAAGATTGGATGTGCTGTTCTGATACGTTTGATAATTTAGTATATGACATAGAATAAGAAGTAAGTAACTTAATATAGAAACCCATAGAAATTTGAGCCTATGACTTCCTTCGAATTCTGTAATTCATTTTGTCTTTATATTTCAATATTATATAAAAAGTTAAAACTCCAGATTTTTAATAAAACATTTTTCATTTCAGAGGATTACAACCATTCATAATAGATAAAATGTATTTTCAGCTCTGTACAATCATTTTATTCATCTTGAAACATTGTTTACTGTGAAAGATACGTAACCAATTTTTAACTGCAAACAATTTTAAGTTGATAAAGCGAAAACTAACTAGAATAAAATAAAACTACAAATCAAGAGAGAAACACAGCATTAGTGACAACAGAAAAATATAATGACAAATGTCAACATATGAAGGCTTTTTATATTCCTACACAAAAGCAATAATAAAAATTTTTTTACTTAAAAAATACAACATCATTATCTTTAGCAGTAGTAAAAAGTAACACCAAGTCAAACAATGATTAGCATAAAAAATAGTTACAATCAATTAGAACAAGATGCAAGTTTTAACATCAATTCTTTTTTTAGGATCATATACAAGAAGTTCTCAACAAATGGGACCAGATCGACGACGAAATTTGGGCAAAAGTGATATGTATGGAAAGGAATCGACGAGTAGCCAAGGCTTATGCAAGAACTCCTGTCTTAACTGTTAATGGATCAGATGATGGGTTCGATGGTTATAGGTTAGCTACTTCAATAGCTCAGTTTTGTTTGCTTAGGAAAGAAACATTTCAATGCCTATAAATGTAAAATATTGCTTTAACAAATATATCTACAGATATAATTTATTTGACAAAAACAATTACATGTCTTGCCAATAGTGAAGACTGAGATGAATAAGAACTATATGGTTCTCAACATAATTTTATTCTATCTCTTGTTTTGTTAGTTACCTTATTTTATGAATAAATATCTCAATCAAAAGTCAACATCTACATTTTTATCTAATTTCCTGTGATAGACCTGTTATTTTTATAAAATAAAATGTTATTGATATTTTAAATTATTTATAGAATTGGTCTCTGTGGGTTTGATAATCCTATGAGGGATTCTGAAACCGACGAAGTTAAACGACATATTGGCAACGTAAGTGTTAAAATTTAGATCTTCTTAACTTGTTAAATTTCTTTTTCTGTGAGATTAGACTATAATGTCTAGTAAAGTTAGACTGAAATTATGACTAATATTTTATTATTGAGTACCATAAAAGGGTCACATATGTTATTTACGTAAAACACGAGCAGATCTTTCCAAGAATTTAACAGATAATGATCTAAAACTTGTCGGAATTTTAATTTACTGTTAAAAACAGCTGGTTCTGTTCAATACTCCTTGATTGCGTTCACCCATACCAGTTATTTAAGTGGTTAAAATAAACCTGGATACATTTTTTTTGTTTTTTTTTAGTATTACTTTTCCAACCAGACTTATTCGGTCATGTGAAGATTAAACTATCTAACAGTGTCATCAACATTGTTTTTAGTTTCTGCTATACTTTCTGTAAGAGTAACCCAGTCAATCATTACTTCGCTGATAGGCGGAGCTGTGCTGGGTGCACTGACTAGTGTCACGTGCTGGACACCGCGTGTCTCGAAGTTTATACGTAGGCGTCTCATGTAGACATACCTACTAGGTCAGTACTTATCACTGAGCGATCTATTATTTACATGAATTGTGCAACTGAAGATCCAGACTTTCGCCTTAAAACTTTTCGAAAATATGTGTTCATTTAAAAAAGAGAATTTTTGTTAATGGAAAATTTTAAATAATAAACTAGTCAAATACACCTTGTTACGGTACTTAAATAAAAAAGAGTGAACTAAGATTACACACACACAAATGATGAAAATGTAAGAGCGTACCATTTGAATCGATTATTTTCCAAACGTAGTTTGTTAGGGGAACCATTACGACGTATTATTATAATACATTGTTAAAAACAGTATTTCACTGAGATAATCTTCAATATAGATTTGCATATCTGACATCTAATAAAATGTTTAGAATTATACACGGACTTTTCTCAAAGTTAAAATACTTTTATTTTCAAGCTTTCGTCCCTCTTACTGGAGCCTTCTTCGCTCAGTGCATTGTTGTCCGATGAAGGTTTCGGTAAGAGGGCCGAAAGCTCGAAATTAAAAGTATTTTAACTTTGAGAAAAGTCCATGTTAATTTACCTACATTATGAGTCTTAAAAGAAAACAATATGATAAAATGGCAAATGATTTTATTTGTTATCATAAAAGCACTTCCTACACGTTACATTTATTGCGTATTAAACAAAATTATGATATCACTGCTACTTATGAAGGTGTATTTATAGTTACTTAAATGGAATAGCTGAAGCTGTCTTTTCAATCAAAGTATAAGCAATATACAATTTCAGTCTGCAGAAAATATTTGTCTATCTTCAACAAGTGTGGTTAATTTGTTTCGTTTCTTCCACACCACCAGGGGGTGAAATTCAAGATGGACGATGGCGGTAACATCATGATGAAACGTGTCAGCAAATGTAATATATATGTTAAAGAATTTAGCAATGCAGAAACGTCAATATCCTCCGATATTATCAAGAATAAAGGACAACTGGAATTAGAGAAAGCAGTGAAGGTAAAATGTAATAAAACGGGAGTATAATATCAGACAAAATTTGTTTCGATCGGTGGAAGTTTTAGCTCAGTTTTAATCAGGTAGTCATGAATAACTACATTTTTGTAGTATCCATTAATCACGCAACGCAAGTCAAATTTAGCTCATTTATTTTTTCTATTAGCTGTCATTGTGATACTTTTAAATTTATGGTCAATAACTACATTTTTGTAGTATTATAAATGAACTAAATTTGACTTGCGTTGCGTGATTAATGTTTTTCTATTAGCTGTCATTGTGATATTTTTAAATTTATGGTCACGAAACTTTGAAAACGAGTAGGGTCAAAAAGTGGATAAGTTGTGATTAAAGAAACTCAAAGAAGGGGGACTCGCGCTTTCAAATAACTCAAGATAACAGGTTTCAATTAATTAAAAGTTCGCAGATATATATTTTATCTGTTAACATTCTATTTAACTGGGCTCTCTCTTTAACCGCAAAGTTTTCTGGAAAATAGCATTTAAGACATATTAAGTGATCAACTAATCTTGAGAAACAAAAATATTTCAAAATTTGTTATTTTGGTTTTTCAACATGTTCCGAGCTTACTAAGTTGATTCATTCTCGTATGTGTACTTTCTGATATAAATGTTTTCGTTTTTCAATTTTTAGTAATTTTGTTCTATGTTTTTTGTTTTCAGTTATTTGACATGAAAAAGTTCCAAAATAATGTTAGTAGAGAAATTAGAAGAGCTTATCCCGACCGTAGAAAGTTAGAAAGTCAGTGCATCTCTGCTCTAGCATTTGTTAAAGATTCTTCAGAAATCCTAGAATGTCCTTGTTGGGTAATGATAATAAACATCGTAGCCCTGGACATGCTTAAGTCTAAACTGCCACTAAGTAAGTCCATTCTTTCAATAGATTTGTAGGTTAAGTATCTGTTGCCCAGTTTTTCTCAATTCTGATTAAATTATTTGCATCTTTGGTTCTCGATGATTTAAAAAGTCCTAATAACTTCAAGAACAATTTGAAATTATTAGAGTAGTAATGGTATTAGTAGTAGTATTTCAACCAGAATTTCAGGTTAAACCTTTTTTATTTGAGGAGCTAAAGCATTAATAGCTAAGCATGATGTTTATTTACGTGGTATATTTAGCTCTATTTCTTGGGAAATGGTTAATGAGTCAAAGAAATGCACGTGCTCCAGTTCATTTGATTATCACGTTTTTCCTGTTTTATTTAGGATATTTGTATATTTTTAATTAATGGTGAAAACGGCAAAACTGTAGCTAATATAATAAAATATAATAAAGATGATAAATTCTATTCACCTTAAAATATGCAACTTATTAAGTTAATAACAAACGTTTTATTTGATTAAGATAAATATATAACAATTAAATTCAGAAAAAAATAACGCAATAAGTATGGATATATATATATATATATATAATTTCAAAACAACCTTCTACCTGTTTATAAAATACATGAATGGCGATCACTTTTATTAAATTTGGTTTTTAGATAATAAAAAAAGTATAAGTCAATATTTTCTTGTCCTCGTACTGACGTTTAAGGCTTAATATTTCTAGAACTGCTCTCTTTCCGTGCACTTGATGTACACAATAACTATATTATAATACACAACAAATTTAGCCCACTCTTGTGTCGAAGGATAAATTTGATTAATTGTAACTTCTAATTTTTCAGATTACAGTTTTTATCTTACAGAATGTCGCTTTTAGTACTTTCAAATTTTTTTGCAATTAAATGCTCAGTCGGTACACGCAAAACCTGTTGAGTTTAGTGCTTTAACGAGTTCGTTATTTTGAACTATTTAACTTTCCTATAGCTTCTGCTTTTTAAACTGCTCATTATCCCATGTACATTTATATGTCAATGTTTTTGGTTTATTTATTAATTTAATTATCCATCACTTATTATCATCTTGCCATGAGCAGCAACAAGTGTTATAATCCTCTTATTCATGTCTTTAATTGTCACTAAATAACCACATTTAAGTATAAACCTAAATATATATCTTAACCCAGTTTGGAAATCTGTTAGTTCAGATTCTGAGTTCAAGAATGTACAAACCATGTGAGAAAGTAGTTATTCCAAGCTGGCCTCGTTTACGGTAAGCCTACTTTGCACTGATTGGTATGGTATAGATAGACTGAAGCATCAGCATATCAGCATATCTATTGTCATCATGGATACTACCCGATACAAATATACACACATTCTGTTGTAAAATCCTTTGTATATATATGTACATATTGTTTCGTGTTATTATGGCCATATCAGTAAATGTAACGATTAAAGTTTATTTGTATTTATCCTTTTTTTATTCTTTTGTAGTATCTAAGAAACAGAGCGTCCCCAACCTAACAGCTGTCTTCGACCGTCCTCGTCTTCCTGTTCCTGAGGAGGACCCATACAGCGTGCCCCATCCAGGAATGTCTTCACGTTCCTCGAATACTCCACGAGATAAACCTCCCAAGCTGCCACCGCGTGACTCATCACATGTTTCTCTACCTAAGGTAAGAATATATTGTAAAAGTTTTTGCTTACTTGACTACCTGAAGAAGATATACGCAATGAGAAAATTGAGAAAAATGTAAAAAAAAAAGTAAAATCTACAGTATTGTATCATTTTTATCATAAATATTGAGCCTATTGATTTTCAACGCATCGCCAGCTTTTAGCGCTCAAAATCTTACATTTACAGATAAATTTAATTAAACACACATAAAAAATGCCTTTAATTTTTTTTTAAATTTCATACTGGATGAACTGTCTAGGTAAAAACGATTTTAGTATATATAAATATATTATATCAACACTTTGAATAAAAATGTTAGAGCGCCTTTTATTATTTCTGTAGATTAATATTTCGTTATTGCTCTGTAAGTATTCTTATTTTTATACAATTTCAGTTGATCAAAATGAAAAAAGAATTCTGAGCGTCGTGCCCATTTATAACTTACCAAAATATATTTCACAAAAACAATTTATAGACCGATATAGACCTATTTAAGTAAGAAACTCAAAGAAACCATTGATTTATTCCACCGTATTTTTATAATGCTTGTTTGTTTGGTTGTTGGCTATCTGTGCTCTTCCCACCACGGGTATCGAAACCCGGTTTCTAGCGTTGTAAGTCCGCAGACACACCGCTGTGTCACTGGTGGGCATTTTATAATGCAATATAGGATTCGACTTCACATCTTAGTGCTTGATGATAGCCATTAAAAGGTTTAGAGCTAAATATAGATACGTGACAACTTAATATCAAACATTAGGAACATAACTTCATCTGGAACTACAATTTGTATAGACATTTTCATAAATATCAAAGTCTATAAGGTACCATTTGCTACCAAAACTTTCGTGAGGAAATAAGTCATAAGACTTCAAGCAGAAGTCAAAAAATTTTCCAAACCCAACTTGATGGATAAAAAATAATTAATCAAACCTGTGGTCTCACGACTTCAGAGCAGTTCAATCAGCATTCTGTCGTACTATTGCAAACTCAGTACAGATCTTACGATGCCAATCAGGATGATCACTAAGGTCTGCCTGTGATATAGAAGTTTTATAAAATACCCTCAACACATCAAATACTTCTAGAAAAGCTACCCCCCCCCCAATGGCACAGCGGTATTCCTGCGGACTTACAACGCTAAAATTCAGGTTTTGATACCCGTGGTGGGCAGAGCACAGATAGCCCATTGTGTAGCTTTGTGTTTAATTACAAACAAACAAACTTCTAGAAAAAAGTAGCGAAATGAAACAGTAGCTATACTAATAAGGATCATGAAGCTTATTTGATAATCAAACATTTTATTTAATTTACTTGCATTAGTTTTTACGAGTTCTACGGTTTCTTAGTGCAATATTATGTTTTTTGATAATGCATTCTTTAAACACTAGCGTTGTGAATGTGGTGAGTGTAGTATAGATGATTAGCTATGTTTACCACAATGTGAACGAACAAAGGGGTCACTGAGAGTCTAGAGCTTGAAGGGGGGAGGGAGAGTATTTGAAAATCTAATTGATTACGAAGTTTTTAAGTAATTAGGTGTGAAAATGTATTTTGGTGATAATTCTTAGAATTATTTTTAAGAATATTGTTCATACTTTCGTTTCATTTGTAAGTAAATTTTTACATGTTTTAAATTATCTTATTTTGCTCGAAAAAAAAATCAACACAATGCTTTATTGAGAAACCTGTTTCATAACACACACATGCCTCACGTTCCGACCTCTGATCTCTAGGCTGGTAAGCCTAGGAGTTGGCTGATTGACCCAACACGTTACCCGAATGCTTAAGCGGTTAGTTATTCAAGTCATGCGTCAATTGGTAAAGCAAAAATAAAGAAAAAAAATGTCAATAACAGCAAAACAAAATGATAAAGAAGGACTGTATCGATTTGATATTAGACGGTCCTCAGGACAGGGAACCGAAAAACTGGAAAGCTGGACGGTTGGTTATCCTTTATCTAGTAATTCTAAAAAAAACTATCTTTCAAGCGTTTACCAGACAATCAAGAAGTTGATGTATTCTCCAAAGAAAGGTGATTTTGACATAGAATGTTATGGTATGACCTGCTGCTGATTTAGTCAGAAACATATTCCAATCTCTCATCCAAACTTCAACTTTAGAGATGCCACCATTGAACTCTAAATTAACATTTACTTTTTTTTTAATTTTCAAGTGCAAACGACAAAGGAAAGCTGAATGAATATTTTAAGGCCAGCGTCAAATTTAAAAATGTTTTTCAATGAAGGAAAAGCTATAGGTAAACATTCGGTGTTGCCAACAAATAAATTATCATTGTTGTTTGTATATTTCACAACTTCTTGGCACATATCAACCAATTTATAAAAATTACCTATTAGTACTTATGTGAAATTGTAGTTACAGTGCACTGTTTTATGCACAATAATTTATCCATTGGCAACAGCGGTCATCTTTTTTTTTCGATGTAGATATTTATTATATCAAGGTATTTAAAGAAAAATTTTGACAATCAAGATTTTAGAGATCTATAATTTTCATAATAAACAAATAATTAATCATCTATTGCTCATTGTAACATACAGGTAATAAGTCTGTTCTTTGTTGCTTAGTACACACATAAGTTGCTTCAATCCTGTAGTGGCCCCCCAGTGGCACAGCGGACTTACAACGCTAGAATCCGGGTTTCGATACTCGTGGTGGGCAGAGCACAGATAGCCCATTGTGTAGTTTTGTGCTTAATTACAAGCAAACAAACAATCCTCTAGTTAAGTGGTCGTGGTTCCATATAACAGTCTAAGTAAACCATGGAATTATTTTTGTTGCTTCCTCAATTGAACAAAAAATAATTCGTGCTCCACAGTTTGGTGGGGTCATGGGTGCTTTATAAAAGTGATGGTCAAATCCCACTATTCGATTAGAGTAGCTCATGTGTTGGCGTTGGGTGGTGTTGAATAGCTACCATCCTTCAAGTCTATCACTTCAAAATGTGAAATAACTAGCGCAGATAGCCCTCGAATTGTTTCCGCGATATTACACAAAAAAATCGAATAACAGATATTTTAATCCACCTTCAAATTACGGATATTTGTTTTCGCCGTTTTTTTGTTTTGTTTTGTTTGTGGTAAAGCTAAGGCTATCTGTCGCCGTCCATAATTTTGAACTGTCAACCAGACGGAAGGCAACAGGCCAGGAGCACACATTCCCAAATCTTGGGCTATTCTTTTACCAACAAAAAGGGGGATTTGGCCGCCATGTTATAATGCCTCTATGGCTAAAGGAGCAGGCAGCTTGCTAGTCTAAAACATTGGTTCACCTGTACCTGCTCAGGGATTGAGTAATAACCACCAAACCTTGCCAGGTCTTGTTTTGTTGTAACAGAATTGTGTTTCTATAACGTTTGTCGTTATGCTACAAATACTAATTCATTGTAAAGGATACTGTAGGAGTTAACTTACAAGCAGTAAGAAATGTTATGATTATTACTTAGTTCTAGTAAACGCTGTTATTTATTTACTTGTCAGTTTCTGTTAATTAAGTTTAGGTGAAGAAAATAAGTTAACAGATAAATAAGTAAATAACCACTTAATCCGCTAAATAATAATAATGATAAATTAATGTTGACAACATGTCACGTCCTATCCAAGCACCTTAAGTATTTTACATTATTAGTGGTGAGTAAAGGACTATACATCTAAATCAGATGCTGTTAATCATGAAAGAACTTATGTATTTTGTATTACGTTTGTTTTTACAGCCCGATTATGATGATGAGAAACAAGTTGAAGCTTTCAGACTTCCACCAGTACAGTCATTCAGTCGAAACAAAAAGTCAGAATATCCCGGTGAATATTCAGTTTTCTTGAAGATAGTACCTGTATTATGTGTGTTTTTTTTCAATCTTACCTTGTATACTGGAAGATAACATTTACTAATAATGACATCCTATCGAGGCTTCATGACTGTAAATCTTGCAACCTTCAGAAAAATGTTTACATGATTCTGTTAATACCGACAAAACCAAGTCACGTCAAGATATTTGGTAGTTATTACTGTTTACTTTTAACAGTCAGATCTATGAGTTATTCGTGACTATCGCTAGATGAATTAACTACGACTTTGTAACAAAACAACACTAAATCACAAACACTTTATCATGTAATGTACTGTGTAAAAACAAAAGTTGTATATTACCACAACAATTTTTATTTCACAACCCAAACTGTGTTCCCTAAACACAGACTTCTACGAACTATAGCATACTCCATGTAGCGATATAAACACACACACACACACACAACTTATGTGTGTTTTCTAAGAACATAAATGGCGTGCAGTTTTGAATTCGAAATTGTGTTTGTTTAAACACTTTGTTGTGTTACAAAATCACATTTTTATTATGTGTACATGGCTTGTATAAAATTCAAAACCAAAATTGTGCATTTTCTAACACGTTTGTGATCTGTTTCGCTATATCACAGTTATGTTGTTCATAACTCGAACTTATTTTGTAGCCATTCAAACAGCAGCTTAGTTTATCACGGAACACGAGTTTTGTTGTTTTTAATACGAGTTTTGTACAGTGTAATAAGAAAACTCTCCATTTTGGCATACTTGTACTATTACAGTTTTTGCACTGAATTCTTGACTAAGATGCCCTAATCATTTGGGTTACTCACTCTTGCACTATTTTTTCGTATCACCACTTTACGATACTTTTTGTCTCACTAAGTTTTTCACTATTTTTTCGTGTTATATTCTTGCACTGTTTCATCTCGTCACACCTGCACCATTTTATCATGTCGTCACACCTGCACCATTTTATCATGTCGTCACTCCTGCACCATTTTATCATGTCGTCACTCCAGCACCATTTTATCATGTCGTCACTCCTAACCATTTTATCATGTCGTCATTCCAGCACCATTTTCATGTCGTCACTCCAGTACCATTTTATCATGTCATCACTCCAGCACCATTTTATCATGTCGTCACTCCAGCACCATTTTATCATGTCGTCACTCCAGTACCATTTTATCATGTCGTCACTCCAGCACCATTTTATCATGTCGTCATTCCTACACCATTTTATCATGTAACCAACTCATCCACGATTTCTTCGTGTCTTCAATTTCTACTCCTCCACTGTTTCTTTTCGTCATTTATTCCTGCATTATTGTTTATGTCACCTACTTTTTCTCTATTTCTTCGCTTCATCCACTCCTGCATTCTTTCTTTGTGCCACTATTTCGTCACATCAGATTATTAGTAGTTACGATAATATAAAATGAAAGTTTTAAATTAATAAAAAAAAATATTGCATGTACAAAATACTTCTCGTGGAAACCAAACACATAAAATATAGACCAGTTAAAAATATTTTGACAACAAGAAACTGATGGAGTTACCGTGAGACATTTTGATTTTGCAATGATTTAATCCTTTAAAACAACTATAAAAACGAAAAACGCTATTGGTCAAAATGCATTTATCGTAATGCTATCACCTATTTATATTTTACTTGTATAAATTTAGACATAATTTACTGTCTGAACTATTTTTAGTAATTTATCCTCATACTTGAATATATTTAATCAGATTTATTACACCATTTTTGTTATCTATACTTCACTTACCGTTAATATTTTCTCTACTGAAAAAAATTGACACTAATTATATCCTGAAATCACCAGTTAAGAAAGTAGCATTAATTTTAACGTATATTAATAGACGATCCTTACTACTGCGGACTCCGAGCTCGTGTGCCTAATTTTGCCAAACACGATCAGGATCATATCAAGAAGACTCACAGCGCTGGCTACCTTGGTCTTCTGCGATCACAAGAACGGACATCTTTTTCATCCACTCTTGGTAAGCAAACATAAAAACATAAGAGGAAGAAGGCTTATGGATAAGAAGTAAATATCATGGTACAATGGCTTAAAATACCTGTAAATCTGTGGAACTGAGTGTTTCGTTTAGATGTTAAATTGTTCTCCATGCTTTAGATATCATGTAATGTTAAACATTTCGCAGAAGAAATTCGCGAAATATCGTACAAATTCATGGTAATGATAGACATCTGTTTGGGGAATATGAAATACGTATAATGAACAGTCATTGACTGTTGTCAGAGTTTATATATAATAGGATAATACTAATATTTATGTCATTAAATACTCAATCTACTTAGTAGAGTAGAATTCGCATTGTGGCATATGTCCTGGAAGAAACTAATATTTTTATTTATGTTTTAATGAGACCAATAAAATACGTAATATATATAATTATATAAATATATATATATATACTTCCAACCAATATGGATCCGTTAAATTTGTGACAATTAAAGTTATCAAGTTTTAAAATCCTTTCGTTGATAACGCCCAAATGTTTTGTTATTTATAAGCTATAAAGATAATCTTTACTATAATGTAAGTAACGTAACCGACAGAGCTTCAAAATACAAGATAACGATATTATTTCGTGTTTAAGGTCCCGAGGAACTAATTTCCAACGAGGAGGAATACAAACGCATTTATAGCAGACTTCGAGCACCACCTCACCATCATTATCCTCCGAAGGAAATGCACGTCGGACAATGGGAATAAGTTATTCTTGTAGGAAAAAGAAAAGTGAGAAAATTATAATTTCTGTTATTGATAACTAATTAGGAAACAATGAACATTTCAGAGACTTTAGTATTCATTTCCAGTTACTGTTTCTGTACTGTCGTGCTTTTGTGATGGGTAGTATTAATGGATATTCTGAGATCTGTATTGCCTACTCCGCTGATGACAGAATGTGAAATGGAAATTTTAAAAGTGGAATTATTATAGAGTCATGATTTTAACTATTCTTAATTTAAATCTCCTGTACCTAACCTTCAGATTATCTCTTAAGTGAACATGGGAGACCGTAATTCTATGAATAAGCTTCAGAATCAGTTTTATGCGGTTGTTCTTCTTTGGGCATGGTATTTTTATGAACTTAAGTGCTCTAAATGTGACAGGTTTCTAAGTAATGACTTGTAGTTATTTTTTCTCGAAGTTGAGTTATAACGACTATCTTTTTTTGGTTTTTTTTTTTTTGCTGTTTTATTATATTCATAGAGTTGAAAGTTAGAAATAACTTGAAAACACTTCATTGAATTTCTTATCTACAGCAAAACCAAATAAACTTGGTTATATAGTGCCTTATAGCTCCACCAGTAAAGGCTAATTATAATTATCGTACAGTTTTACTGTAATTATTTTGGACTAGTAAGTTTCTCGGGTTTATAAATACACAATGATTTAACAGATTCCAACAGATAAACTTGCTCAAACTTTCTTTCCATAGAATTCTGAAATAACTTTAAAATATTTTAAGTATGCCATTTTTTAACACAATTATTAATCTAATAATGATCAATTTAAATAGAGTAAAAAAAAAGTTTATTGACATTAAGTAAAAAAAAAATTGTCTTTAAAGCAAAAATAAGACACCAAGTTTTCTAGATATTAATCATCTCTTTCTGAAACATCGACAAAAATTATAGGTAAATTATTTATTTTACTGTAATATGCGATGTAATCTTCTTGGTATAATCCACAAACCGACTGATAGTTTAAGAAGGATAACATGTATATAACATAATTTTTTCGCACAAAATCTTACCTTGATTTAGTATTTATTGAATTATAAAAGTTCATTGAAAGACGTCTACAAAATAGTGATTATAATGTTTTTGTTTTTTTATTTAGTGTTATCGATAATATATGAATGCTGTAGTAGTCACAACATGAATGTCATCGATCGTGGAGGAAACGTACTAAAAAAAAACGTGATACCAGTTTTCCTTTATAATATAAGTTTCAAAGAACCTGTTTAGATATTATGTGTTTAAGTTTTGAAACACAATTTCGAACCGTTAAAAGTAATGCACACACACACACATATATATATATATATGTATATATGAGACATTTGTAAATACAACTTAGAATAGATATCTGAAATTGTTGAGAAACCTTACGTAATACACATTACAAGAACTTACATATTGAATACATAAATTTATTATATATACTCACCAAATATTCAGTTCTTTTAAAACTAAATAGGTCTTAATAAGTTTCAACAAAAAAGTGTTATCTATATTTATTGACATTCTATGAGAGTAACTGAACAACATAATTTAATTCATGAAGCTTTAGGAGACAATGCATGCGTAACTACCAGCTCTGCAAATAGTAACAAACAGCGCCATCTCGAGGCTATTCGATTAACTTGTTGACAATATGGATTTTTTTTTTTTCATTTTTAGTCCCCCCTTTCTGCAGTTCATTGGTAAGCTTGAGGAATTATCATGCTAAAAATCTGGGAGATGGATACCAGTGATAGGCGCAACGCAGATAACCCATTATGTAACTTTGCATTTAAACACAAAAAACAATTTTATTTTTCTGTGTTTGTGTCTTTCAACGTTCTCTTTGTTTAAACGTTCCATTTCAATTTTTAGAATCAGGTTCACACATACTGTTATGTTGTTTATCTTCCACTTTTTTGTATAAGGTGTATACAGACTGTAGTTCCCAGCAATATTTCCCAAACAGTCCACAGCAGTTCAGTTTAGAGTGCAGTTTTAAATATTATAAATTTCAGATAATAACCAAAAGTTTGTAACTATTTTTATACAGTGTATCAATCTAAAATGAACAATCCAAACACTTTAGTTTACATAGGCAATATCTATGTAAGACGAACCAAACCAAAAACACTGGTTTAGCCAGGTGTTACGAATGCCGACTACACTAGATAACAAGGATATGAAATATGGTGCAGATAATTGTTCTACCAAAAACACTGGTCTAGCCAGGTGTTACGAATACTAACTACACTAGATAACCAGAATATGACATTTGGTGCAGATAATTGTTCTACCAAAAACACTGGTTTAGCCAGGTGTTACGAATGCCAACTACACTAGATAACAAGGATATGAAATATGGTGCAGATAATTGTTCTAGACGACATAAGTGCATAACTTATGTGGGATGTAAAATTTTATATAAATACGTAGATGAGTAATAGTGCTAAGGTGATTTTGATTGAATGTGTATGTTTTTGATTTGATGATTTTTTTTTACTTTGCTTAATAAATGTTTCAAACGTTGTTCTTGTTGCATGTTATATTTCTAAATTTAAATATTTGTATCATAAACAAGTACACGAATATTACGGTATTCAATTCACTGTTAATCTCGAACAACGTGTTCTAGTTATTTAATGTGTTCGATTTCTGTGGTACTGGCATGTAACTCTTTCTGTTAACCTTTCTGTTAGGAAATGTCATGGTTGAAAGAACGCTTCTTTTGTAGTTTAACTTTATTTTCCAACATTTTGTATAATAATTATAGGAGGTTGGAATTTGCATGTGGCTTAAGCAAACACAAAACCCGTTTTAAAGATTCTTATATTGAAATATAAATTTATTCTAATATTATAAGTATTATCTTCTCACATTTGCAGTAGAATTATGCTCGAATTTAAAAAATAAAATTGTTAAATTAAACTTAAGTGCTAAACACTGTATACTACTTGAATCCTGTTTTTTAGTACTTTATGTACTTCCATAGAAAAAATCGACTCTTGGATATTTATATATATATCGTTGTTATTTGTCGAGAACCTGGATGCTGTTCAGATGGCGGGCATGTCCATGAGACCTTATGAAGCCTATTTACACTCTGGACAGAGTTAGTCGTTAATAAGTTTAGTCCACCACAATCAATCTCTGAGACACTTAAATGCAGTTAATTGTATATGTGGTTTAAAGTCGATAGGGTTTTGATGTGATAAGTTTAATACATATTTGACACTAGAGGGAATTGTATACCACAAAATTTTCTTATTTCTGTTTTTAACTTAATTCTTATGTTTTGCGCCCCCCAGAGGCACAGCGGTATGTCTGCGGACTTACAACGCTAGAAACCGGGTTTCGATACCCGTGGTGGGCAGAGCACAGATAGTCCATTGTTTAACTTTGTGTTTAACTTCAAACAAACAAACAAATTCTTATGTTTTATAAAAGGACTTCGGCTGTTGCCTGCCAGTAATGGGACTTGTTTAATTAACAAAATCCGTATTTTTGACGTAACAGCTTGTGTAGTATTTGAGTTGATAAATAGTAGAGTTTATTAGTTTGTTTACCTTCCACTTGTGGGAAAGGTGCATCAGCTCTTGTGTTTTTCACTATTTCAAGAGTAATTAAATAAATAACTCTTTCTGAAAGCGAAACACTGAAATAAAAAAATCTTTAGATGGTTGGTTATAGACGCTTATTATCAAAATGGCAAATGCCAAATTCATAAGGTGGTTAGTTATGTTCTTGTCATTGAAATGGCAAGTCCTAAAGGTGGTTAGTTATGCTCTTATCATTGAAATGCCAAATTCATAAGGTGGTTAGCTATGTTTCTGTCATTGACATGGCAAGTTACTAAGGTGGTTAGTTATATAAATTTATGTTCGAAATATCAAGTATTTATTTAAAGGTATTTAGTTATATATGCTTATATACCGAAGGCTTGTGCAACAAAACTTAAAATGTGCTATTACAATTAGAATGACTATTAAAACGTAGGGATGTAGGAATACAGTAGAACTATTATGGGAAAAAAACCCTACCCTACAACTATTATCTAATTGATCACCTGATATTTTTATTTAAGTGAAATGCTTTTTACTAAAAATATTTCCGAGAAAAATAACGACTCAAATTGCCTATTAAGAATATTGGCTATTTTTTTTTTTTTAACGGGAACCAAATGCAAAAGTCACTTGATACTTATCGGAGAAGAAGTATTAGGCAATGACTGTGAACTTTAGCTTGCTAGTTATGTTTTAAGAATGTTTCCTGGTGCTATATGCATGTAATATTCAAGGCCGTTAGATTTTTTTAGATCCATCGAAACATTTTGTGTTTATGTGCCAGGTTCTTTGTATACAATAACGTCCTTGTAATCAGAGTCCGTGAAACAGTTGTTTACAAGATGAAGGAAAAGAAATAAAAGCGATACAAGTATCAAGTTAGGATAGTTTTTGACTTAGTGTTTTGAAGACTTCTTATACCAAACAGTAACGTTTTCATTAAAAATTTATAATTAAGTTGAACAGTCACGGCATATAACGGTTTAAAAGTACATTAATATTTTTAATTTGTAAACTCCACTTTAAAATATTATATTATCAGCATCGATATAATGGTGACTAGAAAGTATAGGTATGGATTTATATTTTACACAATGTCGTTGAATTCTGCTATGCTATAGTTGCCTTTAATAAACTAAATAAACTTAATATGGTTACTGCAAATGGCTACTTCGAACATTTCAGATGATTTAACATTTTTTTTTAAGGTCCGCAAAGATAAATATTTTAACGTGAGAGTAGCCCAAAAGCCTCAGTTTGTTGTTTTATACGGGAACATTTACTCATTATGTAGATGTACTTCGTTGAACGACTTACAGAAGAATATTTGGCAAAACTACAAATTGGTCACCAGCTTTTCGCTCACTTACACAGAGACTTTCAAGACAAGGACAGTTAATTTTATGGTTACCATGATTTCTATTCCTCTTTTGGTTATTTCTACCGGAATGTACACATTTAACTCAGCTTATAATTTTTTCTTCAGTGTAAGAATGGATTATTACATCAATTACCTGTTTTACATATTGAGTTTATAAAATAACGTTACCAAGTAATAAATTTCAGGTAATCAGATATTACAAATTGTGTTATTAATAATAAAGTACAGTAGTTAAAAATGTAGTGCCTCTATTTTAGAACCATAGCTGACTCTTTTGTTCCAATGCTCGTGAAATGGCAAAGATACACAGATACACGCGTACTGCACAAAACAATTAAAAGAGAACTCGAATTTACAATCAGACAAAAAAAATATGTTATAATATCAACCACCCATCAGTTAATTCTTATGCCAATCAGTTATATGATTTAAAATGCCATTCTGCTTACTCTTTTTAAAGAACATTTGGTGGCCGTTTACTTTAATATGTAGTATGGTCATTTTGAACAGAAAAGAAAGTCTTCACTGATATTACACACCTAAAATCAAAGTGTTGATAAGGCCCTGAGGTACCATCGACTAATTCTCCGAAAGAACCGTTTTCAGGGTATTTTAATTCCTGGAGTCTCTTAATGGGACGCGACGCATCTCTTTAGAGCAGTCCATGAATGTTCGATGGGATTAAAGTCCAGTTAGAATGAAGGCAATTCCGTTTAGTTAATCTCCTCTTCTTTTAAGATGTGCTATGACTAAAGTAATGTACGTGTGAAGATGGAGGCAAGAGTTATCGTCCATTAAGCTGAAGTGAAGGTCAGTTGCATCAACACATAGGATCTGGCCCTAATAATGCGCAGTGTTAATTGTACCATACCACATTATGTAGAGGTCGGTAGCCCACCAATGATTATTCCTACAGACACCACACTTTTACTACTTCAATATACATCACGCGTTCCTGTATGGAGGTAAGGTCAGTTTTTGGTCCCAGATTCTCTCTCCAAATGATGATACGCCTGTTATTTGGCTGCAAGTTGAAGCCCGTCTCACCAATAAAAGAATATTACCTTATATGTTGTTGGCCTAATGGACATGGTCTTGGTATTATTGCAACCAAGCTGTTATGTGCTTTGCTGTCAGCAATTTCTATCTCACTGGACGTCTAGCATACAACGCTAAAACTTGAGATTCAATTCCCCGCGATGGACACAGCAGATAGCCCAAAACAAACAAACAAACAAGTTTTCGTTGTGAAGTCTCTTTCTAACTTCTGTGCACTAATACGTTCTCTATTTGCAGCTGTGAATTTCTGATTTAGTTTCGCCCTATAATTATGGCGAACCAGAATCGATAGGTAAAGACCGCCTGGTTTTGCCCTGGATTATAATGTGCTTTGTTCAGGTGTTCGAGAAACTGTACCACTGGTTTAAAAGTAGTCAGACATTCTGCTACGGACACTTTGACACACTATGCAACAATCTGATATAACTGTCCCGTTTTTTTTTCCAATGATTCTTCGTGTCAATAAAACATCCGAAATACTTCTTTGAGGTATAGTTATGAACAATTTAACAACGTAGAGCATTTTATACTTTAACTTATTTCAAAGTGAAAACATAAACACTGTGTATAGATAGGCTAAATAACAAATAATTTATATTTCAGGTCACATGATTAATGAACAGATGCCTAATTTGCACAATATTGAAGTTAGGTGTGTGATTGACATTATTTCGTAACAGTGTTCTGGCCCTGTCATAACTATAATATTAAAAAGTTCAGTTATATTTTAAGTGTTTTATAGACTTCATAGGAAATGCATCTTTTCATATAACTCCAGTTGCATTACACAAGATACTCGCACGAGACACGATTGACTATGAACAACAATACGTTCCGTTGGCCATCAAAGATTATCAGTAAGATTGGTTTAAATAAAATAAAATATTACTAGAAAAAAATTTATATATCCCATTATTGCTTTCTAGTTAAAACTGGTTAAGATGAGTATTGTCTCGTTCCTTTATTCGTTCAAGTTCCTTAACTCATAAATTGATGCTAATCAAACAAAGTCCATCAATAGCTGGAGCTATTGTACAAATTGGTATTTTGTGATAACTGCAATACATTCTAGTTGTTGAAATAAAGTTTGATAGTCTAACTTGAGAGTTGAACAGTTCCTTTCACTGTTTCACTTTATAATAAATTTTGGATAGATTGATTTGTATTAACACTTATGAATTATTTATAAATTTGATTTTTGTGTCATGTAAGTTTAGTAAAGGCAACAGAAACCACTTACACATCTCAGTTATGATGCTCACAAATACAATATCCAAAAAGACACACAGATATTATTAAATAACTGTTTCATCACAGGAAAAGCCCTGAAATTATATGAATTGTATAATTTAGAAACCTAGAAATAACATCAAAATATCCTGTAGTAATTTTCAAACAGGAAGAAAGTACAAACAAAATTATTTTAAGTCACAAGCGCCATTCTAACCACAAAATTTTACAACGCCAAGTCCTTTTATGTTTCCTAGAAAACAGTGGAGTTGATTTTTGTTTTTGTTTTGGATTAC